CTGTTTGTGTGGCTGTCTCTCCTAGGAGCCTATGAACATCAGGCAGAACCCTATTTCCTGCCCAGCACATGATGTTCAATGAATCAGTGAAGGACTCAGCAAATGAGTGAGCAGCAGGAGGGAGATGCACCTGCAGGTCTAAGGAGGCCAAGGGAAATCTGATTTGGAGTTCTCCCTGTGGTTCCCTTCATCAATTTCTCTTCTCTCCTTTGCAGCCTAGTCCTCACACCACCTGCAGGTAGCCTTCCCAGATTGCACCGAGCTACCACATTGAAGGTCTGGCTATCCATCAGAGTTCCTCCTCCTCATCTCCCTTTCACCTGGAGGAGGCAGCCAGCAAGGGTTCACAAAAGGAGGCATGAGCCGCCTACAATGGGTGTGAAAGGCTGGAGGAAGTCAGGTTTCTTGCTCCAGCACCTTCAATCCCAGGCCCTCAAATGCGGGGAGTTGACATGCTTCTCATGCCTCCCCAGGACAGGTGTCCCAACACCTGGTGGAGGTCACAGGGCTGCTTCAGCCCCTCTGGGAAGAAGCTGTTGTTGTCCAAGGCGGCATCTTTACTAGGCCGCTGGGCGGCGGGGGGAAGGTTGAGTGCCACGGGCCGAGAAGTCCCTGGTGGCTGAAGGCCCACCTCCGGTGCCTCCTTTCCAGACAGGAGCTCTGTTCTCTTTGTCCACAGAGCTGAGCAGTCTTGCACACTTGGTCACACAGTGTGTGACTGAGCCATAGCTTACTCATCTCTCAAAGTGGAGCATGATGCCTACCCTCACAGGACTGATGAGGGAACACTTCGAAGAACCGCGCAAAGTAGTGCTCGGTGCCTGGCAGGAGCCTGGACCGAGTGCAGAACTTCAGCCCCAACGGAGGTTAGTAACTGTCTCCCGAGGCCTGGCTGTAGCATCTCCAGTCAAACCATCTGACTGTGCTAGTGACAAAGTGTCTCAGCATCCTGAGATAAAGGGTGGGCAGGGCCTGTTCCCACCAGCTTCCTCCCACGAGTGTGGCACCTGAGAGGGAACCATGCGACAGAGATGGCTTCAAAATAAAACATGAGAGTCGGTTCACGTTGAGCAATCACTGGGGTCAGGCCAAGTCCTTTATGTCCATTAGATCATATAATCCTTGCAAATACCAGGGGGAGGGCACCAGTTTCTGAACTTGTCAGTTTTACTTTATTTGCTTGTTTATAAATTAGACTCTTTTTTAGAGCAGTTTTAGGTTCACAGGCAAACTGAGCAGAAACTAGAGTTGCCCCAAACCTCCTTTCCCCACACATGTACAGCCTCCCCCATTAGCATCCCCCAAAACAGAGGTGTGCTTTTCACAATCAATGAACCTATGTTGACACATTACTGTTACCCAATGTCCACAGTTTATGTTAGGGTTCACTCTTGGTGCTTGACCATTCTACGGGCTTTGAGAAATGTACAATGACAAGCATAGCTTTATTCTTTAATACCAATTTTATTTTTATTAGTACATGTTCAGTGGCTTCAGAGTACAAAACAGGCTTATATGGAAAACCAGCCATGCCTCTTCCCTGACCTCTCTGCCTTTCCTAACCCCAGGCCCAGGCCCCAGTGGCATCCATCTTACATACCCAGGGGCCCACACAGTTGGCACCAGAGTACTAAGAATGTCAAAAGCAACAGGAGACAAACAGTGCATTAGGGTCAAGGGGCCAAATGAGCTGAGTACACCCTCTGCCCCAAAGGTCAACCCGGAATCTCAATGAAGACATTAGAAAGATGTGTTAAAATCCTCACTTATTTCTTTAGAAGCCCCAGTGATCATTTTTGGAGTTTTGCTGAATGAGAGGAGCTAAGGAACGGCGCTCTGATGCAAAGCTGCCTGGGTGGAGGGAGACTGATGTTCTGGCTGGCTGCATGGCCTGGGAAAATTTCTCCCCTCTGGACTTTCAGGTGTTTGTGCAAAAAGCAAGGGTCTAGACAGGTGATCACTAGGGCCCTGTCTGGGCTGATGGACTGAGTTTGGGCTAACTGCTGCTAACAGCCCCATCTCTGGAACTCTTCCTATGAGCTGGGTGTTCCTTGCAACCATATTCAATACTGCCCCATTTGACAGATGAGGATGGAGACTCAGAAGGGCTGTCAGGGCCACACAGCTGGAAAGAAATGGTCAATATTCTGAGCCAGAGGGGATTTTCCTGGTGGCCCAGTGGCTGACTCTGTGCTTCCAATGCAGGGGGTGTGGGTTCGATCCCTGGTCATCCCTGGTAGGGGAGGTTAAGATCCCACATGTCTCTCCGCTAAAAAACTGAAACAAAACAGAAGCAATGTCCTAACAAATTCAACAAAGATGTTAAAAGTGGGCCACATCAAAAAATCTTGGAAGAGAAAAGATTCTAAACCAGAGTGCACACTCTCCTTCCCTGGGGTTGGATCCTTGAGCCTTTTGTCCTGCTTTTCCCAAAAGAGGTGCTCTGGAGTCTGTGTGGCAGGTAGATAGGTGTGAAGGAGGTGGGTAAGAGGGGGCCCCAGCAGAGCCCAGCTTACTTGGCCTCCAGGGTTTCAAGCCACTAGGCCCCACCTCAGGGTGAGGACCATTCCACCCAAATCCTGTCTGATGCTAATCTCTCCTCCTAGGCCATGGGTTCTCTGCCTTGGCTGTGAGTTAGTCACCTGGGGAGCTTTGGAAAATAAAGATGGCTGCGTCCCACCTGTAAAGATACTGGTTTGATTGGTGTGGAATTAATAAGGTCTTCGCACTGGTTGGTCAGAAGAGTGCCACAGGTGGTTCAAATGTACGGCCAGGGCTAGAAACTGCCATTAGTTACTTACTAACGGGTCTGAGGGTCGCTGTTTGTTCCCTCACCATCCCGGCAAAAGTGAGTGTCTGCTCTTTGCCCTGCGGCCTCAGCCATGAAGGCAGGCAGAGCAGCCTCTGCTCCCAGCTACCGTGTAGCTGCCTTTCTCTGGAACAAGCGCCACAGCATCTTTACTCCGCTCTCCTGAATTTGTGGTCCTCCTGAGAGCAGCCAAGGACGTGATGCTTCTCAGCGATTCTCTGGAACAAAAGCGCCTGGAATCCAGGCATCTACTGGCCTGTGGCGTGGAGAGCCCACCGTGCCCATGTCCCCTCTGCTCTGCATCTTAGGGGAAGAGAAATGGGGAGGACAGCATTTGTCCCCCACTCAGGCGGCCCTGGGCCTTTTCCGGCTCTCAGACGAGGCTATCAGCCCCATGAAATCGGATACGTTCTGTATTTAAAAAAAAACAACAACAATTCTCAAAGTTACAAGGGTGTCAGGAGAGAGTAAATCACAGCTTGAAGGAAGAGAGTCTCCTGTTTGCTGCCTTACTGACCTCAGCTACAGAAAGGTGGCTGGTGTGTTCCTGACTTAGGACTCCTATGTGGGTTTCGTGCCGCAGAGGGCTGGATGCTGCCTTTAGAGCCTGCAATGGAGAAGCAAAGTTCGCAGGAGAAGGTCAGGTAAGAGGGGGGCTGGGGATGCACAGGCAGTTGTAAATAAGTCAGAACCAGAAACTCGAAGCGGTTGTGGGGAAGCTACTCGGGCCAGGGCTTTGAGGTGGCCACTAAACATGGCATTTCCTGTTCTCATCCTCCTTGAAGCCTGGGCTTTGAAGCTTCACGGGCAGGCCAAACCTGGAAGGGTCTGGAAGTCATAGGGCATGTGTTTTTCCAAAACTGAGTTTATTGGAATTGTAGGGGGTTCCTCAGAATTGGTAGGGACTCTGGCACACTATGCCCTGCAACTTCCAATATGGTTCCTTTACCTACTTAATCAACAGGACATGATTTAAACTGGGTTTAAAAAAAAAAATTCTGTGCTGAAATAATGTTACCAAAATTTGAAAACCATGGATCTAGTAAAGTTATGAGGAATGGGTAGGGAAACTCGCCCAGAGTCACCCTCTAGTCACTCACCCCTCAGGCCAGGTCTATCCCCACAGCACACCCATAGGCCTCATGGAGTGGACAGCAAGAGGTTCTCTCTGGAGGCCTGGCTTGAATGCAGCAACAAAAATGGCCAAGAGGGGAGCCATGTGGGGAAGAGCCACTCTCCAAAGAATGAGCGACCCCAAGACCCAGACTTTCAGGCGCTCAGGGGCGGTGTCAAGCTGTCTGGGCTCAACTGTTAAAAGCCCTCAAGATTCTAATCTGTTCTTACCTTCAGGGAAATGTAAGGCCTTGGCCTGGGAGGCGGGGCCCCTGATTCCAGGCTGCCCCATCATTTTCTGGGACCTTAGCCTTCTCTGTAAGGGGGGCAGCTGGGCTCGGTCACTCAGCTCCTAGACTGTGGGCCCTTGAGGATAGGACCCATCGTTTCCACTGGGTGCTGCAGTCTCAGTTCAAGGGACTCAGTTATAGGGCTAGGCACAGGAATCATTCACTTCACGGAAAGAGACTTCATTCATCAGTTTTTAGAACAGAGCTCCTGGCAAGTGGCTCCCCCCACCCTCCCCGTACCCACCATGACCTTTGACAATAGTGGCTGACTTCCCACACTTCTTGGAGTGAGGCTTTCTCCTCTCTCCCGTTTCCTCTCCTGGGTTGGCTCCTCTGGGGGCAGGAATGTCAACACTCTGGAGAGAGTGAACATTGGGGACTTGAATTTCTTCTGACAGTCTTCTACCTCTGAGCGGTCCCACAGACGAAGGCGCCCCCAAGGCCATCAAGGCTGCTTATTAACGCCAGCAGAATCTGGCCACGTGCACTTGCCCAAGAAACAGGTGGAATCAATAAGCAGATGATCATGGATGGACTGCGCCGAGGGGAAGATCTGATCCCCAGTTCAGATGGAGGTCTTAACCTCTCTTTGCCACGAAACTCCCAGAACATCAGTGATCAGGACCTCTGTATGTACTCAGCTGCAGCCTATGCTCCTTCCCCACTACCCCTGGCCCTTGAGGGATAAACCCACAGCCAAACAGCCCCAGCTGTTCTCACTTCCTGGCAATGACCAGGATCTGAGACACTGCCTGCTTCCCTGGGTCTCCAACAGAGTCCTTCATTCCCTACAACCTGAGGCCCTCCAGACCCCTGTCAAGAGTCCAAAGGCCACTTCTGAATGAAGACTTCCATCCCCCCAAGTCATGCCCAGTAGTCCTTGGCTGTCCTGGTCTCTGGTCCTGGCAGGAGGCAGCCAGCTTTGTGACTTCACAAAAGGCCCCCTGTGACAAATCTGGGCTGGTGAAGCAGGAGGTGGGCCGAGGGGCTCCCCTCAGGAACATCATGTGACTTTTCATGGAGAGACACCCCCTACCTCTGAGGGAATGAAGAAGTGCCTCATGGTAAGAGCCTGGGACATCCTCTGCACTTAGAAGCACACCGCCCCCCCTCCACCCACATACCTTGATGGCTTTGGCTCCCAGGTCTAACTGAGTTCCTGCCCACATCTGCCAGTATCTCTTTGGGGTCCAGGTTCATCGCCACTGAGTTTGGGGGTGGGGCAGTTGGTGATTACTCCAGGTGGTGGTGGTGGGTCTCTGATCTCTGAATTGGAGATCAGACCAGCTTCCACTCATCGAACAGTCATTCTGCTCCCAGCCTCCCCTCCCAGTGAAGGAACTGATGGGGTGGGAAGCTTTATCTGACCTGAGTCTTCATCACGGTCTCCCAAAGCAGTCCTCAGAGCACCTTCAAGTGATACTTGAAGGCCAGAGAGTCCTGAATCCTGTAGAAGTCTCATAGCTACAAACAGGCATTGTTAAAAGAGCAACAGAGTCTCTCCTCAATGCTGACTTTACTGTTGTTTCTTTTCCGAAGGATTTACAATTCTAGAAACCTAAGGCAAGAGAGGCCGGGGCTGCTTTCTCCCTACCTCCCCTGCACCTGTTCACCAACCTTGAACTCTTACCTGGAGCACCGCCTCTGGGAAGAGCAGGGCCCCAGGAGTCAGCAAGGATGATGAAGGGCAGCCGGGCTCAGGGATCTGACAGGTCCCGGGAGCACCTGGAGGACAGACTTTGGGCCTTTGCATGTTCCAACCCCTGTGTGTGCTGGGCAGGTCCATTGTGAGGGTGGCCCGGGAATATAATCTCTGGCCATCCCCGTGGCCTCTACTTTGATTGTGACATTACCATCCAGCCAGAGGAGCCCAGGGAAAGGAATAAGTGTGCCCTGAGCAGGATTCCAGATGCAGGCTTCATCTCAGCAGGGAGGCAGGGTTGACAGACTGGTTTGGGGAGGGTGACATGGCCTTGACCGCCCTCACCCTTGATCGATAGCAGCCTTCTCAGGCATGAGGAGGCCTAGGAGCCGATCCCCTTAAATCCACCCTCTGACCCACTCAGAGTTCTCTGCTGGGCCAGAGGGTAGAAAGATGATCCCTAAGGATGGTTACTCCACTGTTTCCCAGTGCATCTGAAAATGTGCCTTAGGATTTTTCTTGAAAGGAGCTCATTTCTCATTTTGATGAGAAAAGCTTGAGCTCTTCAAGCAGGCAGTAATACGAGGAGCAAACAGAAATCAGCCAGGGCTGATGTGGTCCTGCAGGACGGCAGCAGGGACAGCCAGAGGCCAAGAAAAATTATGATAGAAATAGCCACCACTTAGCTAGCACTTCCTGTGTGCCAGGCCCCAAGCTGAGCACTTCACAGGCATGATCACATTTAGTCCTCATAGCAAGGCTGAAAGGAGGCACTATTCCCATTCTCCAGCTGGAGAAACTGAGGCTTGAGAGGTGAAGGTCAGGGTCCCACAGCAGGGCAATGGGAGCAGCAGCGTCAGGACTCGGGGCTGTGGACCTCCAAAGCTAGACTCAACTGATGACCTGTCTCTTTCTATAAACTTGCCAGTGAAGAGGAAAAGAAACTTTTCTTATCTGTGACCATCAGTGACAGGGTTCAAGAGACAACGGAGGACTTTGAACCTGATATCACCCAGATGAACTTTTAGATAAGGCAGCCTTGACTGCCTGGCCCCTCTAACCTTTAACGAGACCCACTGGGAGGCAGCTGTTCCTAACTATTTTGCAGATGATTTAAGCGAGACCCATGGCATCACTGAGGGGAGTCCTGGGAGTGGTCTGTGGCTGAGCAGTGGTTCTGAGGTGGGGTTGCTAGATAAAATATAGCATGTCCAGTTCCATTTTAATTTCAGATGAAGAAGAACTAAAAATAGAGAAGTCTGTCTTAAATATTGCAGGGAGCTCCTCATTCTGGCTGGGCCCCTGGTTACATGGGAGTTAGGGCAGGGCTGAAGGGGTGTTGCTGTTTCATTTCTTACCTGACTCCTGTGTGGGCTGGAGGCAGGGGCGGGGGGCTGACTTCTGGAGACTACAGTGTCTGCGACCACTGGATGAGGTGCAGCCTCGGCGGTTTTTCACTCTGTGAAATGGAATTAGTGGACTAGGATGCAGTCATGCAGGGGTGCTTGCTTTGCACACTGCCTCTGCAATGCGGGCAGTGTTCCGTCTTTATAGGGGGCCGTAGGGGGCTCCCAGGGAATGATTAGAATTCCCTTTTGGCCGAGGTTGGGGTCCCCGGAGCTTGGACCCGTTACTCCTGGACACTTGTGGTAGTCTTGTTTAACCAACAGCAGAGTGGGAAGAGATGTGGGGGAGAGGAGGAGCACAGGAGTTGTGATGGGAGCACCTGGGTCCCGTGAACACGGAAGCATGTGATGGGAGAGAAGGGGAGGTGGAAAAGGGAAGAGAGAGGGAGAGGGGAGACAAGGGGAAGGGGAGGAGAATGCCAAAGTGCAGAGGACTTGGTGTTATCACTTTTTTCCTAGCCCAGTGCATGGGCATGTGTGGGGATGAAGGCCGGATGGAGCATACCTAAGTCTGGGGGACTTGGTGCTGAGCTCCTCTTGCCCTCCCTCTGCCACTGGACAGCCCTGCAAGCATGACTTCTTGCCCTTTGATGCTTCTTTTTGAGGTGCACCACAGCGGAAGACGGGCAGAGGCAGAGCGGAGGGAGACAGAGTCCAGAAATGTTGCTCCAAAGAGGCCAAGGAATCTTTTTCCAATGACTCAGGCGTGATGTGCCAGGCCAAGCTGAGAGTGTGGGCCCGATTATTTGTAGCTTCGTGTTTGCCATGTACTTAAATGTGAAAAGGCTGGCTGTGAGGATTGGTGCCAGTGCGTGGGAGTGCTTGAGTCTCTGGCACCTGTGCTTGACCTATGAAATGTGTCAGTGAGCGTGTATGAAATGTGTGTGCAGCCCAGGGGAGTCTAGGAGTGCCTACAGGTGTGTGGCTGTGTACGTGGGGAGCTTTTGGCAGAGGTAGGGGGGCCGCAGGCATTACAGAACAGATTATGGAGGGAGCAGTTGCTGGACAGGCTCTGTATTATCTCCTGTTCTGCTTCCGCCGCCCCCTGGGCCCTGGCTTCTCCAAAGGGCCTCTGGGATATACCCCTTATTCCCATCATTTATCCAGCACCCCAGGCTGATTTTCTGAAGATGAGCAGTGCCATCTGGTGGCATGCTGAAGCTGTGACAGGAGTAGAGGAACTGGGAACCTGGGTTCCCACAAGAGGTCTGCCTTTCAGAACCCCAGTCAGTGGGGAAGCTGCACAGCACTGGCTGGCTCATGGATAGAGGGAGGGGTATCTAAGGCTTGAATGCTCCATGCTCATGCATTTTGGGTTCATGGTCCACGGAGTCACAGCAAGAAAGTCAGCTGCAGGAGTGTTGGAAGATGGATGTAGGAAAGTTATTGGTCCACAGCCTCTGCACCCACAAACCTGGGCCCCACTCCGTGGGGAACCAATCTGGGCTCAGATTTCTCCTCTGTGGAGGTGGCGAACTGTACCTACCCTGTGGGGTGGTAGTGAGGGTTGTGTGGGTAAAACACTTGGCTCAGAGCTATGAAGTCAAAGGAAATGCTAGTGGCTATTACTGAGATAGGCAAAATCACAGAGGCACAGAGAACAGAACTGTGTGGCATTGCAGAGAGGTGACATGTCTGCGTGCTGCCACCCAACATTCTAGAATTTTGTGCCTGAACATCAGCTGTTTAAAGTTACAAACCTAAGTGAAGGACGGAAGTTTCTTCTTAAAGGCGGGTAACGCGATCCTGTGAGCAACAGAACTAAGAGACCCAGCATCCAGGCTCTGGCTAGCTTCTTACTAGCTATGGAACCTGAGCATGGCAGCAAACTTGCTGTGTCCCATTTTTCCCACGTGGAAATTGCTGTGAGGACGCCATAAAAATGCGTAGGAACTTGCTCAGGGCTCTTAGGAATGAAGGCTGGGTAGGACCTCCGTTAGGGAGAGAGTATGCTCAGCTGTGGTGCTTACCTTTCACGTCTCCAAAAAGGGATCCCAGAGTCGGAGTCAGGAGTCGTTCTGGTTCTGTTGCTAATTGGTTGTGTGATGTTAGTCAAGTCACTCACACTCTCGGTCTCACTTTTCCCAGCTGCAAAATAAATTAGATGACGTCCGAAGTCAGCTCTGCCTTAATCTATTTCCTTTTGATTCTTTCCCTGTCTCTGCTTCACATATAATACCTAGGATGAATTTTTTTTTTTATTCTACAGGCTAGGTCTTGAACAGAAAGACAAAAACCAAAGCCTTTTGTTTAATGAGTGCCGTGATTTCTCACATGCTTTGGGAAATATTTTCTTAGATCCTGGTATGTTCTAGGTCCAATGGAGCAAATGGGAGACTAAAAGACTTCTACATGTCACCCAGGGCCGAATAAAGTACTGAGAAGGTACCCAGCAGTTCCGGTGTTGGCCTGGGAGGATCGAGTCTCACTTTTCGCTTCCGTCTTCGTGAGCAGCCAATAAGCACGTAGCAGTTCGCGTTTATACTAAAACTACAAACCCCAGAAGTCAACGCGCGGGGCAAAATGCCCACGCGCCCACCACGACTCGGTGGGTCCCGCCCCTAGGGGCGGAACTTCATTTCCCAAGCGGCGCCGGGGCTCGCCCTGGTGTTCTCCTCCCGCCTCTTGCCGGCAGTCCTCGCGCCAAGTCGGGAGGAGCGCGCGCGCGCAGGGCACGTAGCACGAGAGTGACGCATAATATGTGGGCCGCTCCGGAGCCGTGGTCGCGCTGTGTGTGAGTGAGGGAGAGTGAGTGCGGGACCTGAGGCTGTGTGTGAACTGTGGCCGCTGGCGGGGTCAGGGGGGAGCGGCGGAGCCGCCCGGGAAGGTGAGTGGGGAAGGAAGGGGGACGACTCTTTGAGAGGGGCGTGAGGAGACAGGGCGCGTGGTCGGGCGGGCGGGAGAGTGGGCGCCGGGCTGGGGGAGGGGCGGCACCTGCCTGGGCCGCCGGCTGGGAGGGGGCGGGCCGGGCCTCCCGGCAGGCTTGGTCCAGGGCCTGACTAGACTTTTACTCCTCCAGATTTGGGGCTCGGGGGGCGGGGCCTCCACGTTCTTCCTCCAGTCCGCAAAAGAAGCTTCCCAAGAGTAACTCTTCCGCCCGGAGTGGGGGGCAAGGGTGTGC